TTGCAGCAGCCCAGCCACAGTACATTACCCTCCGTTAAACCAAGGCTGCCCAGGCAAGTGTTAACCTCTCTTGCAAGGAGCTGGTGTTGCAGGGAACACTGTTATAAAACACAATCAAGCAGGCTGTTGTTTTCCCCCAGTGGCTGGCAGAGCAGGTGGGGAAAAGCTCTGCAGTTCCCAGGGGGGTTGATTGGCTATTTCTTCCCACCCAGCCAGGTTCAGCACAGCCCTCTAGGGTCGTTAGTGGTGACTGAGCTCCCGGCTCACCACGCAGTCTGGAGCTGCTTGGGGAAGAGGGCAGTGGCTGTACCTCGGTATCTCGGCATCGCCCTGCTTCCCCACTCCCACATCCCTCCTTCTCAGCTAATCATGCCACGGGGCTCCAGCTCAGCAATGCCCGCCAGCCGCGAGCTCCACTTGCGCTTGATTGCCACCTCCCACCAGGCAGCTGCTCTTTAAAGGCCTGGGAAAGAGCGTGGTCAGGGCAGGTGATGCCAGCAAGAGAGCTGTTTTCCATCTGGGAAGGGCATAATGACTTTAAGTAGGTTTTCCATTGGTTTTCTTGATGTGGTTTTGCAGCCTGGCGATTGCTTCTCATGGAAGCTCTTGCTCCTTCACATTTCTCTTCCCCAAATCACAAATCAAACTGCAATCTGGGTGGATACCAGAGGTTAGCTGTTATTCCTCTGGCACCTGAAGATTGCAGTGATTGCATTTAAGAAAGGATGCTTGCTGTTTAAGACATCCAGGTTTAGATGGCTTCAAAAATCAGTATGACTACAGGGCATGGCTCCGTGCTCTGGGTTGCTTGTACCATAGTCTGAGCAGCCTGTGACTGCCAGTCTGCACCAGGGAGCAACCACATCCATCTCATTTTCTTTCCCAGAAAACTGCAAACAAGTAGGAAGCAGACAGGAATCCTCCTTCTATTAGCTTTCTCCCATAGCCCAAGCACTGGTACCTTGGTCTCCCTCCTGCTTGTCCAGCGTGGGCAGGGGAGCAGGCAGGCAGCAGGAGGACGAGACTCACGCCTGGTCACTCCAGTACCCTGACAGCTTTTTGACGTCCTGTAATTGCTTTCGTGCTACAGCTCTTTTAAGCATAGAGCTTCTGCCCAAAGCAATTTGCTCCCCATCAATTTTTATTTCCTGGTTTCTGCATGTGAGGTAGGGGAAGGAAAACAAAGAGGGCAAGCAGGAGCAAACTGAGCTGAGACCCGCTCCAGCAGCCCCATGCAGATGGAAAGGTGGGAAGGATTTGGCTCCCTTGGTGCTGATGGAGCCATCTTCAGGCAGGCAGGACATGGCAGCCTGTCTCATCCAGATAGTAACAGTCATCCTTCCAGCTTTGGTCACCCCTATAACCAACTTCCAGTTGCTTATACCTGTCTGACAGATTTGGGGGGAGGACTTCCATACTGGGGGCTCTGCAGGGAATCCATGTTGCCCTGAAAGGCTCTTCTTGGCTCTTTTAGCCCTTCGCTGCTCTTCATGCCATGCTCCTTGAAGCTGCTGTGAGTAGACTTAATCTCGGGCAGTTTAAGGAGTCATTGAGTGAGCTCGGTGGATGATGAATGTTGAAACCATTACAGGCGAAGCTCCATGGAGCTGTTTAAAACTGAATTCTCCCATGTAAATTTCTGCTCCATCAATCCTGGTGACATGTCAAACATTGCTATTGTTTCCTGAACAAATTGGACGACATGCCCTTTCCTGCAGATTTGCCCACGGGACCAGAACCACTCACTGGCTCTTCGTTTCTGCCTCTGGCTCTATGGGCCCACAGGCTGGTGGGGAAAGCTGTACATGATGGCCCCTGGTGGGACAGAAAGGGGATGTCTGAAATATTTGCTTGGGGGATGGAGATGGGTTGAGAGCTGGGTGTGGGTATTTCTGTGCACCTGTGATTCGTGTACTGGGTGCCCGCACCATCCTGCAGCTCAGTAAATTAATCCTCTGGGTTATCCAGGCTTTCTCTTCTTGCCACTCTCCCAGAGTTTAGCTGCACAAATGTGGTTTTTTAGAAATGGTCTGTGCCTGTGACAGCTCATAAAAGTACAGATGTGGACCTGCGTTTTCATCCTGCCCTTTTGCAGGCTCCAGTGGGCAAATCCCACTTTAATATTCTGGGCAGGAGAGAAGCAGACGTAAAAGCCATTTGATTGCTTCTCCAGGTGGAACCCCGGGATATTTCCAGCCAGATGCCTTTCCTCCCCTGGCTGCTGAGAGGGATGCGTGCATGCCTGGGGGGGACGACCAGTCAGTCAAGGGGCTGAGCTGCAAGAAAACAGCTGGTACCCGGGGGTTGTGAAAGGCCCCAAAAGCTGTTGTCTCAGTGGCATTTGGGGTGCTCTGCATGCAGGTTGCATTTCAGTCTTGCTTTGCAAACGGGGTGCATGTCACCTCCTGAGGTGTTCGAGCATCTGAGCATCTTTTTTACCCTTAGAGGGAAAAAGTTTGGTAATGCAGAAACAAGTGTAGGTCGAAAATTAAATATGCTGAGCGTGCATGGTTTTGCTTTTTGCATATTCCCTGTCACGCTCAAGTAACCTGCTGTGTTGCCCTGCATTATGTCCATGATGTTCAGTTGCCAGGAAAGCCATCAAGCAGGCATCACCTCCCACCTCCCCTGGTGTAAGTCAGGGTAATTAATTAGCCTGGCTCATGAGGTGGTGTACAGGGCAGAGCTAGCTTGCCCAGCCTCCTGGCTCCCCGTGAGTGAGTCGCTTTGTGTTGCTGGCAGTTTTGGCTTACCTGGCATCCCCATAGCTCAGGGTCCAGCCCACCCTCCTGGCCTGGCTCCCCACCACCTCCCATACCAAGAGGCTCTGTGCTCACCTTCTTTTAACCTTCCTCCTTCACTATATTTTTTTTTCCCCATCAGAAGAAAATTACACTTTCCCAGTGTTGTCTGTCACCGCAGTAAGCACTTACAAGTGCAATTGCATGGGGCCAAATGAAGGGAATTCATTTTGCCTGTGCTCTGTGGCACTGTCAGGCCCCCTGTAAATCACTATCTCATCACCAGCCGATCCAGGTGCGTGGAAAGTGCCTTTCTGGGCTCTGATCTCACACCAGCCCCTTAGGGATTAATGGGATCTAGGGGTTCACAGAGATTGTGGACACAGAAATAATAGCCGGGAAACATCCTGGCTGGAAGATCGAGGGCTGGCTTATACTGGGCAGTGCTGAGAATACTCAAAGCACTCGAGGATTCTGGGGAGAGAGGTCCCAGGGCCCTTGTTGGCCAGCCCCAGCAAAGCTCTGGGGGTTTGCCACCATGATTCATAGCCACCTGGGCTGGTGGCAGGTGTTAGGATGGGGAATTTATACCAGTATTAACCGGCTGAGGGAAGCTGGGGTGGGCAGATGGTAGATTACTGCCCCTCCTCCCAGGTGTTTCCATTGGAAAAGCAGGCAGGCTCTGCCTGGCATGGGGCACCGTCGTAAGTGTCCTCCCTGGTGTCCTCTGAGGAGGGAGATGCACCCCAGAGGGGCTTGCCCTCCAGGAGCAGGTGCTGCTCACTCTCTGGGCATCTCTCCAGGCAGATTTTGGCAGGTTTGTTCCATTTTGTTGAATGCAATTGCAATGAACATGAGAACTAAAACACATCTTAGCAGTGGAGAGGAAAATCGGCAAAATCAGTAGGTCTGAAAGGCTGGCTCCACCAGCCCACCCCTCAGCTGGTGTAAAGCAGCAGGACTTTAACACTCAAGCTGGGAAAGCATTGGGGGTGAGAAAAAAATGAATTAATCCTAGCTAGTTTTCATGCCTTTTCCTTTCTGCCACCCTATGGTGTGGCAGGTAAGCAGCACGTAGGGGTAAAGCAGTTTGGTGTGTTCAAGCTCCTAGTCTACTGTCAAGGGTAATCAAGGCCATCGATAAATCAGGAAGGTTTCAAGAACAGGTTGTGTTCCATGCCAGTCCTAAAATACAGCCTTTTGCTGGTACCTGGACATAAAATGTGTCTTTGACCCTGCTTTTTCACAGACCTGTTGGTGTCTAAGTAATCCAGACAGGCCTCCATTTAGAAAATATAGTGGGGGAGAAAAAAAGTATTTTGGGGCTTGCATTCCACTTTCCTCACCTAGAAATAAAATGTCCTGCTCCTTTTTCCTGCCGCTGCTCATGCATATTTTATGTATTCATTAGAGAAAAAACTTTAAAACATGCATAAATCTTGCCTTGCTCATCTGGAGCTGACACACTGCGGTTTGCACACCTTCCCCAGAAGGTGCTGGTTGCTTAGCCGTGACCAGCCTGCTCCAGCTTCAGCAGCTGGTGGCGGTGTACATGCAGCCACTTCTGCACTGGACTGAACGAGAGCTAGCACTGCATGCCCATGCCGCAGCATCCCAAGAAGTGTCAGTCTTTCAGTGGGGTTGCAGCAGACTGCACTCCCAGAAGGGCTGCCTGATGGGATCTGCTTGTGGAAAGCAGGATCTGCATCTCTTTCCTTGCTTTTCCTGGTCTGTATTTTAGCCTGTTGAGGGGAGTTTTGAAGTGGGATAGGTTTTTCTTTTTCACCCAGCAGCCCCAGCATGCTGCCAGCCCTGAATGCACAGAGAACAGTTGGACATGTGCTTATGGGTCTTGACTCTTTGGCTTCATGGGGCCAGGATAGGTGGCCCACAGGAATGGTCCATGGAGACATTTATTTCACTTGTGCTTCCCCGGTTAGCTCGGTGCATCAGGAAAATAAGTAAGCATAAAATTTCCCACTGCCAAATGTTTGGGTAGTGATGCTGAGAGATGCTGATGGAGGGCTGTTATCTAGAGCAGGCTGGGAGTCAGGGATGTGCAGGATAACTCAGGCAAGCATAGACAGCCCCAGCCCTTCATCTCTCGGGTGATAAATGGCAGCACATAAGGTATGCACTGGCATTGCCTGCTGGCATCTGGGTAGAAGGAGGTAAATAGGACATAATGGAGTCACTAGTGTGTATAATGCAACATTCCCATAAATACCTTCATTTATCAATAAACTTTTATTTTCTCAGGCAACTGACAATGACGTGGGCACATACGGGAAAGTCAGTTATTTTTTCAGCGATGACCCTGACCAGTAAGTGTGACTGAACCCACCAGTATGACTTTGATTCTTCAAAATCCTCTCCTAACCTCACTAAGAAGCCAGATGGCAATTAAGGGTGTTTGTTATGTCCTACATGCATATTGTCCCTGTGATACACCCTATGAAAACCACACTATGGTGTCTCCCAGCAGGGTGAGTTAACTTGAGCACATGCCTGATGCTCAGCACGTTTAATTACTTGGCTAAATCATGACCTAGAGAGACCAACAGTTGGCCCTAGAGCACTGTGTGTTACTCACTCATGGGGGTGGTTGGGGGAGGTATGTGGGCTGCCCAAGCAGAAGGGTTGTGGGGGCCACTGATCCCTCTTTCTCTGCCTGTAGAGCAGTACTGAGGGTTTCTACCCCACCACCTGTGCTAAGCTCTTGGAGATGTTCTAGGACTAAATATTTTTCAGAAGAAAGCCATGAGCTTCACCTGCTGTGGTGCTAGCTCTCAGGCTGCTGCCACCCTATCTCTCTATCCACAGCATGGGGTCACCAGGGCTTACCCTCTCCTTTCTTGTTCCCGCAGTTTCTCACTGGACAAGGACACAGGCATAATCCTCCTGACAGCTCGGCTAGACTTTGAGACCATGCAGCGCTACACCCTGACCGTCATCGCCCGGGATGGCGGTGGGGAGGAGACGACGGGACGCGTCAGGATCAATGTCCTTGATGTTAATGACAACGTCCCCACCTTCCAGAAGGAGGCATACCTGGGGGCTCTGCGGGAGAACGAGCCCTCCGTCACCCAGGTGGTCCGGCTCCGGGTGAGGGACTGGAGCAGCTTCTCCACTTGGGATGTGCTGTGGAGAGACAGGAGTGGGTTATGTCCCCGTCCACCCCTGCTGCTGGCCCTGCTGCCACCCCTCTTGCATTCCTCCTAAAATATGCTTTGTGCTTTACTGTGAAGTGCACTTAGGTGTGGTACTGCAGCCAGGAGCTGCCTCCCTCCTTCTCCTTTCCTCCAAGTCCTGTGTCTATGCAGCATCCCTGGGACCTGGGGCTTCTCCCAGGGCACAGGCACTACCTCTGTATCACCTTGCTCTTCTCAATAAAGTCAGCAGGCACTAAGCAGAAGGTGCTCTGCTGTTGATGTAGCTGTAAGCATCTACTGTGGAGAGAAGACAGGTAGAGAAGACTGTTTGCTCCTTCAGCACAAAACTAAACTTTGCCATGATGCAAAAGCATGGCTTTCTTTCCCTCCATAGGGCCAGGCTGGATGAGTAATGCAGGGAGATCAGGAGAGGGGGACCCAGTGAGTTGTTGCTGGTATTCAAGATGGGAGGAGAAGCTGGTTTACAAACCTCCTCAGGGTGCATCCTCCCCGATGAGTGCATCTTCCTCCATCACTTTTTCACTCTTCTTGGGCCCAGCCTACATCTCCCATCCCCTCATCTCTTTATTGTTGCACATCACGGCTCCCGTGCTCATTTACTTCTGCTCACTCCCCAGGCATCTGATGAAGACTCCCCTCCAAACAACCAGATCACATACAGCATTGTGCAGGCATCTGCCTTTCAAGATTACTTTGACATTACAGTGTCAGAAGGGTATGGAGGTAAGCACTGGTCCAGGGACCATGGAGCCCTTGACAAGCAGAAGCAGCAGCTCAGGCTGCATTTATACTCCTGCAAGCATCATATCAGAAGGCTTTAGGAAGTTGTTCTGGCAGGTCCTCTGCTTGTCCTGACCTCACCTCACCTGCAACAAGTTCCTTTGCAGCAGGACTTGAGCCAAGACACTGTGGAGCTGTGTTTCTGTGGGTGTACAGTTTGCTCTGGGTTATGCTAGCTCAGTAATGCCCAGCACTTATGTTCTAGGGGCATTGCCACCTCGAGCAGTCACTCTTGGGTCTGGGGAGCTGGTGTGGATGGGCCACACTCTGAACCTGCCAGCTGTCCTGCTCAGTGCGTGAATGCCTCCTGACTGCCCTGCTTTGCATCCTTTCAGTGATCAGCGTGAACCACCCCCTTGACTATGAGCAGGTGGCCAATGGGGTTATTTACCTGACTGTGATGGCCAAGGATGCTGGGAACCCACCGCTCAACAGCACCGTCCCCGTCACCATAGAGGTGTTTGTAAGTACTGTACCTGACCAGTCTGTTGTGGTTTCCGTACAATTGCTCCATAGCAGTGCCATTAACTCATCAATAACCCAGCAAGCCTATTCTGCTCTTGGATGCGTACATGTGGGTTGTGATTACCCGTGTCTCAAGTATGTATATATGTGTCCTGTAGGTGTCATATACTGGTTAAAGAAATACTGTCCCTGTCATGTGATAAGGTCTGAGTGGCAGAGAGTGAGTGAGAGTGTCTCTGAGGGCTGTCAGCACAGACAAGAGCTGATGGGCTGTCCTGACACCATGCACCTCCTCCCTCTCCTTGGCCATGCACAATGCATTGAGAAACCACTGAAAGTAATGTGGCAACAGCCGCAGCTGGATATAGGGCAAGGAGAAGAGTTGGAAATGGGATGGAGATATACCCTCAGCTCTTGTTTTTTGACTAGAGAAGTTCACTGAGAACCTGGTGAGACCTTCTCTCAAGTCACAGGGAATCCTGGCTGGAATGCTTTTCATGGCCACAGCCAGGAGGCACTTGCTTCAGCTTGAATGCAGAGGAGCGAGCTTTGGCTGTGCATTCACACTTGTTGTGTTGGAAATTAACAGTCCCTGAGTCAATTGTGGACAGTTGATTATTTATCTCCCCAACACTGGCTGTCCTAGCCCAGCTGCGGGCTTTGCTGAGCTTCTCATGTGCAAACCCCCTCGAGGAGAGGTTGCTGTTAGGAGAGGTAAAGCATCACAGTGTTCTTTGGGAAGATTAGATCGGATTGTCACTTTGAGGCACACTGTAGTTTGAGGACATCTGGAGGGAGGTATTGGCAATGGAGACAGTTTGCTTGATAACCTATCAGTCTTGCAGTGATGGGATCTAAGCCAGGCTGGCAGCAGCATCGGTATGAGAAGGTGAAGAAGATGAAGTCCACAGTGCTGTAGGATAGGAGTGAAGTCCCAAGAGTGTGCCTCTCTTTCAGCTCCTCCACCATACTCGGGAGAGGGGGAAAAAAGCAGTGTGGGCAGGGTTAGTGGTGGTTAAATACATCCTTCCCAAACTGTGCTTCAGACAGCCTAAACACCTCTTTCTAAAGACCACACTTCAGTGGGTCATCTCCTCCAGGTTGAGTCTGTACATTGGCGGGTTTTAAGTAGGTGTCACTTTTCCCACTCTCAACTGAAGGGGTGTTCTCTCAACTGGAAAAAGAAAAGGAAAAAAATAAAAAAAAGCCCCAAAATAAGAAAAAAAATGGGGAGGAAGTGTTCCACAACGGCACTTGAGGAACAAGAGCCGTGAAAAGGCAGAACAAGAGCGAGTGTGGAGGGAGGTAATTTTTTTTTATCCTTTGGTTGTTGGTTTTTAATAAAGAAGTCAAACTCGCCTTGTAGATTTCCCATTAGGGGACAATACACTTTTGTAGAGGGAGCTGCCGAATCAGAACTAATAGCGCGCGCCACGCCAGGGTCCGGGGAAATATCACTGCTAATAAGTTTCTGCCTCACTCCCTGCCACTGCTGCTCCGTTCAGGGCAATGAGCCAGCAACTTACAGAGTGTGTATGTCTGGAGGAAAGGGGGCTGTGTGCTTAGCGTGAGCATCTGCGGTTCTCTGCATCCTTGAAGATGATATAACGCTGTCTGAGGATGAGGGTATAGGGAGGAAGGCTGAGGTTTAAGGGAACAAGAGAAGCTGGTTTTAGGGGTTTAGCTGGATGCCCTCTACTGTGGGAGTGGAGAAAGAGTGCTGAGTCCTCTTTCGCGTCACTGCCGGTGCCACAGGAGGCACATGGGAAGGTTTGCAGTGGGGAGCTTTGAAGTCCATGGTGCTGAAGTGGAAAATGGCCTTCTCAAGTAGGAAAGCCATGTGCTGTGCTGCAGGCAGGTGCACGCCAGCTACAGCCAGATGGAGAGAGGGCCAGAAGTGAGCCCCTGCCTCCCTGGGAGCTGGCTTGCTGGGCTGTGGCAGTGCTGAGCACAGCCTGATGAAGTCAGGACCACTAACGAAACAGCATGGTGTCTGCTCTGGCTTGCATCCACCCAGCCTGAACCAAGGCACAGCTTACCCGGCTCTGGCTGCAGGTGACATGTGGATGCATGGTCATATACATTTCCTTTGCTTTTAAACTACCCAGACCTCCTGGGTTTGCCCTGGAGCAATGACCCCAACCCTGCTGAGGAGAAGGGAAGGTGAGGACAGCACCCTGGGCAGCCAGCAGTTTTCTCATTAGCCTTGGAGGAGGCAGGGTAAAAGCTGAGTGATGCAAAAGCTGATTAAAGACCACCTGCTTCCAGCAATGGGAGCAGAGGATGGCAATTTAATTGCAGTACAATGGGCATCGGTGGCATGTGAAATTGCCTCAAATATCAAGTTTGGTGGCAGCAGGAGCAGCTGATCCTGCAGGTCCATCAGCAGTCTCCAGGTAGAGCATGTCTCCAGAGCAGCCCCAGGGAAACAGCAAAGTCCATAACGGTGTTTTAAAGTCCTGGCAGCTCCATCCTTCCCTCTGTAGGCGGTTGGGTTTGGTTCGTTTAAGGCAGATTCTTGACATTGTTTAAATAGCATTTAAAGGCCCCCTGGGGGAGCTTTAAACTGGTCCAAAATCTGTTTTGAGGGATGTTTCAAGCAATTACTCCTGCCTGGTTTCACCAGGCTGGCCATAGTTGCTGGCAAAGACAAGCTTGGAGGGAGTGCATTTGTATGCTAACAGCTTCCTCCCAAAAAATATTGTAGCTGATCTCTCTGCAAACACCCACAGCAGTCCTCTTACACAAAAGCAGCCAAAGCTCAGCAGTTACGCTGGACAGTCCAATTTCATTTCAGACCTGTTGCCCAGGGTGCTTGGTAATGAGATAGTTGGTATTTTCCCTACTGTATAGCTTAGCAAAGTCACTGGCAATCCACTTACCTTAACTTCAGCAGTCTCCACAGCGAAATCATGTGCTCAGACCTCTGGAGCCTTACCTTCAAGTCCACCTTTCCCATGCTCATGTCTTGAGCTGGTCACATCTTGAGATGCAGTCAGCCAGGAGCATCCCCCATACCAGACTTTCGCAGCTACCTGATGATTTTGCCTTTTCCCCAACCAGCCTCTTGTCTTTGTTTCAGGATGAAAATGACAACCCCCCCACATTCAGCAAGGCCTCCTACGTTATAACCATCATGGAGGACATTATGGCAGGTACGGAGCACACCCGTGCTCCTTTTCTAGGCTAGCAGAAGGGCCCTGGGGGTCTTAACCAGAAGTGGGGGTGTGATGGCTTTTTGAAGAGGTAAAAGGCAGAGACATGTCAGAGTTTCATAGCTGAGGGGCCTGGGGGTTTGGCCCCATTGTGCATACAGGTGAGGGCTGGGTGACCTGCAGGAGTGGTGTGGGGGCACAGGACAGCTCGGCAGATCTGCTTCAGGCTGCAGATGCTCATCCCGGCCCTCATTTCTGACTCCCCTAAGGAGCCACGGTGCTGTTTCTCAATGCCACTGACATGGACCGGTCCAGGGAATACGGGCAGGAGTCGATCATCTACTCCCTGGAGGGCTCCTCACATTTTCGGATCAATGCTCGCTCAGGTGAGCCTTTGCACATGCTCTCCTGCTTTTCCTTTCAGTTCCCTCTCCCCAATTTCCCCTGGCTTTCTTCCCCATCTTTGTTCCTCTTTCACCTTCCTCCTCTCCCTGGAGCAGCCTGCTTAGGAGACACACAGTCCAAGGGATTCACCAGATTCCAAACACCACCACTTGCTTGGTCACAGTGAGAGCTTTGGCTGAAGCACCAGTGGAGAAGCTCAGCTCCTGGTGGGAGGGACACCTAAGAAAAAGCTTTGGCTGCAAGGCCTGGTGTTATCACAGGACCTGCTGCCCATCTTCCCCCACTGACATAATTTTCAGTTCGTTATGGGCAGAAAGCAGTGTGAGGGATCTCAGGCAGTTGTTAGATGGGCTCCCATGGGAAGTTACATTAGAAAGTTTGCAGGAGCTTGCTCACATGCTGACCTTTCCAGGATCCATCTATTTAAAGTGAATCAGAAGAAAGGGCCCATTTGTGAAGGATCCTGTTTCTGGGTTTGAGTGTCCCTATTTTTCACCAGTGCCCCTGTTCACCGTACAACATCTCTAATCTCTCTCATCCCCTGTGGCTGCAGGAGAAATCACAACGACATCTTTGCTGGACCGGGAGGCCAAATCTGAATACATCCTCATTGTCCGGGCAGTGGATGGAGGCGTGGGCCACCATCAGAAGACAGGCATTGCTATGGTGAGTGTGTGAAGGAGCAATTCCCATCACCTCAAGCCATAGGTGCCTGCCTGGGGCTGGCATTGGGAAGGGCTGCCCAGGCACTGGTGCTTCAGTTCTGCATGCTACCAGTGTTTAATTTTAGCTGTGTGAATAGATAAAGAGCTTAGAGTGGTGTCTGCCCTCTGGGCTACTCCTATCACTGCTCACAGCCCTTGCAGAATGACTGTCCAGGCTTTGTAGACCTTGAAATCAGTCTCCCTTTCCTGGCAAGCCGTTCCCTCAGGAGCCACTTGACCTTCCAGAGCTTTATGTGTCCAGCTCTCCATGTGAAGGCGGTAACAGGTACCTATTCCACCTGCAACATGTCTCCCTTTGTTCATGCCTCTTGAGAAAATGCTTAGTTGGAGAGCCTGCAGGCAAGCTTAGTCGTTCTTGATGACTGGTATTCACATACTGCCTGTATCAAGGGTTTCCAACCAGTTTCTGATGCCTAGGCTCCTTAGACAGTTCTAGTGGAGGCACAAGCCATTGTTCTGCAGATTGAAGCCCAGTGCTTTGCCTTGCCCTTTGCAGACATCAGGGAGGCCAGCTGTTTGCAGAGGTTTTGTAAAAGTCTTTGGAAATATCAGGAGGTCTAAAGCCAAAGATCCATCCCTTACTGCTCATGGCACCGTGTTGGTTTGAACATTTCATAACATTTGGGTGCCCCTAGCCCTGGAATGCTCAGCTGGGTTGCAGGAGAGATCTCCCATGCAACAGAGGGTGATGCAGAGAAGTACTGTGGTTGTGCTGAGGAGATCCCCAAAATAATCATCGCTACTGCTGAGGGCCATCAGGAGGAGTATGATCTAGATAGCAGACCAGAAGCTCCCTATGCAGCCTCCCAGAGGCACGTGGCTGCCATGGCCAGGCAATAGCATGGCAGGATGGATGCTGGCTTCCCCTTTGGGGCTCCACATGAGATGATGTTCTCCTAATAGTTTTAATGAAAGGCTAAATGAAGTTTTTGCAGCAGAGTTTTGGGGGAAAAAACCCACCAAAAAACAAAACCAAGCAATCAGTGTCCGTCCCCCCCCCCCAAAAAACAAACAAAAAAAACCCCACACAACAAAAAACAAAACAAAACCAACAAAGAAACCAAACGAAAACCATCATAGCTCCTAAAAATTTAAAGACAATTAAAACTTGGTGAGGAGGGGGTGGTCAGTTCAGTTTGTCTGCTGTCATTAGCAAGGATGTACACCAAGGACTCAAAGCTGTTCCGTATAATCATTCTTGATCTGGGAATAAGAGCCCATTCACGGGCTTTGCAAGGTCCCTGGCTGTCAGACAAGCACCTGAGTGCTCAGGGTACAGGTGGGTCACCAACCTCCCTAGGGACCACCTCTGGGCCTTGGCTTGTGCCCGGGGACTGTGGTTTCCAGATTCGCCTTTTCTGCCACCGGGTGGCACCAGTAGTTCAGCCTGGCGCGGCGGCAAGACCCTCTTACTTGGGAGCAGAGGAGACCACAGGAGGGCCCAGCCAAGTACCGGGGGCTCCATCCTGCCCCTCTGCCCTCCTTCCCTTGAACTACAGCTCTTCCTTCAAGCACCTGTATAAATTCACAGGCTGGACTGAAATGGGTGATCTGGGGAGGTGACAGACTCATAGACAACAGGATGCATCCTGCAGGCTCACTGCTGTCACTTAGATGTCATTTCTCACGCTGAAAATGAAGCTAGGTAACACTTCAGGGCACCACCCTCTCCCCTGCTCTCTTGTCTTTGCACCTCCCACCTCCTGTTACTGTACCCTCCTGATTTCTCGTTTATTCCATTTATTTGTTCTCTTTTTACCAGTCAGTTTTTCCTTCCTTTCCAGCTGTGCTCCCACTGCACCCTCTCCCCCACCACCATGACCAATCCCTCCAGTGAAGTAGCTGTTTAAAAACACACCTTGCGCCCCTGCAGTTATTTTAACTGCCAAGTAATAAGTGCACAGGAGCCAAACCAAAATCAGATATGCCAAGGAGCCTTGGCTGTGAAGACGCAAAAAGTTGTTTTTCTGCAGACTTTCCCTCTGGGGGGTGAACTTGCATCAGGTACCTGGTGCTGCTGTACCTCCAGGGGACATGCCGTGCTGCCCCAGGAACTAATACATCACTTGCTTTCTCTCTTGCAGGTAAACATCACACTGCTGGATATCAATGACAACTACCCCACGTGGAAGGATGCGCCATACTTCATTAACCTGGTGGAAATGACCCCCCCCAACTCGGACGTCACCACAGTAAGTGCAAGGGAAGGTGGCTGTTTTGCTAGAGCCTCTTCCTTTCACCTGGTGAGTTTGTCACCTGCTTGGCTGGAGCAGGGAGTCACCTCCTAACTGGTGTCTCATTCAGTCAAGCACCATCTGAGCCTCCTCACTTCTGCCTGTCCCATGTGTTTCTCCTTTCTGCTGGGATTTCATTTTTCCCTCCCCATACTGTGTGAGGTTTTGCCAAATTCTGCTTTTCTTAGCCTCTCCTGCGACCTCCTTCAAGGACCTCTCTGAAAGACATTGATTTACAGCCTTTCAAGTCCCTCCGGTGAAATAAAAGAGGAGAGAGGGAGGCTTGTACTCCATCATGCCAGGAGAAAAATGATGGGCAGGAAACAGAAAATAAATGAGAGAAAAGTGAAGAGAATCCACAAAATCATATAAGGAGGAAGGCTGCAAAAGAAAAGGAGTTGGGGGGAGGTAGGAGGAAAGGTCTGGCAGTGCAGCCAGAGCCTGGCAGTTTCCTCTCTTCCAAGTGGCCCCACTGCTCAGCGCCTGTTTGGTGTTATCTTGTCTTTGACATTCCAATTTGTTGCTGGGAAAATAATTATTGTGTCACTGATATGATGTAAATTCAGCTGTGGGGCAAGCAGCAGGGGCCGGGGAAGTTACGAGTGTGATGAACTTGGGATTTTTTTAATGTAGATGTCCCCTGTAATTCCAGATGTCACAGGAAGGACAGTAAAGCATAAAACGTCTGGCATGGAGAACTCCACCAGTGAATTATTTCCAGCATTTCCGATGTGGCAGCACAAGTTCCTCTGCATGCTTGTTTGTCCTGTTTCTTTTATTTTCCTGAAGGATACTTGTTTTCTAGCTGTCTTTATTTAAAAGTAAAAAGCCCATTGAATTGCTGCGTGCTTGTGTCTTTCTTGCCATGTCATTACCTCACAGGCTCGCAGAACAATTTTAGTGAGATTTAACACCACAGTAGAGGTCTCAAGGGTACAAAATCTCTGCAAGTATCATGAAAATATATAGGTGTATGGAGAAAGGAGAAATTCTCGCTGCTGCTGGTATAGGGGAGCTTCTCATATGAGCTCAGCCTCATTGTTCAACACCGGTGGATCTACGTGAGAACTCCCTGCGGGAGCTAATTCCCATCTTTAATTTTTACTGTTTCTCGGTGGCAGGTGGTCGCTGTCGACCCGGACCTGGGGGAGAACGGCACAGTGGTGTACAGCATCCGACCCCCCAACAAGTTCTACAGCATCAACAGCACCACGGGCAAGATCCGCACCACCGGTGTGCTACTGGACCGTGAGAACCCCAACGCCCAGGAGGCCCAGCTCATGCGGAGGATCGTGGTGTCAGTCACTGACTGTAAGCCCCGCTCCCTTCCTGCTCCTCTTTGCCACAGCGTCTTGCTCCACCGTAGCTGGAAATTGCTAGGGCTCAGGTTGTGCAAACGTCACCCTCCTCACCCTCCGCTTTCCCTCCCTGATGGTTTTCACATACTGAGTTGAATTTTCTCAGCCTGATTTTTCCTTTATGATGAAGTTTCTTTTATTTTTTTCTATTTTAAGCACAAGTTACAAAGATGTTTTTGAGGTTAGAAAATGAGAGTAGGTTAAAACCTTCCGCTAAAACAAACCAGAAACCTTCAAAATGTGAGCACAGTCATTTCTGTAGCAGCCCTGGGAGGCAGAAACTCCTCCTCTTCTCAGTCTGGCTCCATCAGTATCTAGGAAAGTCAATTGAGTAGCTGGTGGAAAAGAGCTGACCAAGTGGTAAAATGTATTCTTCTCTGGAAATGGGATCTTAGGGAAATTTTTTTAGGAAAAAAAAAAAAGATAAGAGATATGAAGATAATTTTCTATTATCCAGCCTGTTTCTGAGAGGCAGGCGGCACATATGACTTCTGTCCCTTTATATACTCGTACCACTCAGCACTGTGCTAAAGCCATTGTCCCATTCATCCTGCCAGAAAGACAAAGATAAGCACAGACTTGTGTTGCTCTTGTTTTTCAGCTGCATGCACAGGTCGCCATTGGTCTGCCTTGCATGCCTGCTGCCAGGGTCAGTTTTGTCCTGCCAGGGGACTGTGCTCGTTAGTCTGCCCGGCAGCAGTGAAAGGGGTAACACGGACAGGTCAGTGCCTCGAGGGGACAGCTCCATCCTGCATTACTGTCAGCACAGGAAGTGAGGGCTCCTTTTAGGGTAAAGGGGTGGAAACAATTAGAGGCATTAAACTTGAGACGGATTCCTGGCCTCCACAGGCGGGAGGCCACCCTTGCGAGCTACCAGCAGCGCCACGGTTTTCGTCAACCTGCTGGACCTGAATGACAATGACCCCACTTTCCAAAACCTGCCCTTTGTTGCTGAGATCGCTGAAGGCCTTCCTGCAGGCTCCTCTGTCTTCCAGGTGAGCATGTCCCATTGCTGCCATGCCCCATGCTGGGGGCTGCTGTCACTGCCATTGCTTCTACAAAGCAGGCAATACACCTTGTCCATCCTCTAGCAATGCAACTGGGAGGATGCAGAAGGGGTTGTGCTGTCCTACTACATGTGCTCGCTCCCAGCAGAGGGGATGCTCCGAGGCCCCTTTATTTCAGCCCACCATCCCTGAGGGCAAAGAAACACTCAGGATTTATGTACTGTGATTTTCATTGTCAGGAGATGATGATCAGAGATGCTCACCCCTTTGCCCCCTTCCCTCCACCCTCCCCACCAGGTAGTGGCCATCGACCTGGACGAGGGTCCAAACGGACAGGTGACATACCGCATGCAGGTGGGGATGCCCCGCATGGATTTCCTCATCAACAGCACCAGCGGGCTCGTCACCACCACCACAGTGCTGGACAGGGAGAGGATCGCTGAGTACTACCTGCGGGTGGTGGCCAGTGATGCTGGTGTGCCCTCCAAGAGCTCCACCAGCACCCTGACTGTCAAAGGTGGGTGCATCAAGACCCATCCAAGTCCTGCCTTGCTGCAGAGCCCCCTCTGGTCCCAAAAAGATGGGGGACAAGGACACCTCACCAAAGGAAATGTAGTTTATATAGGAGACACACTGAGGAGTCAAATGGGTATACGATTTGACCCATTATGCCTGCTTATATGTATGGCAACACATAGGGAGGGCAGCCCACTGCAGTGCCATCTCCGCAGACCTCACATCTTGCCCAGTGTGAAGTCAGCATAGTGCAGAGATGGGGAAAATATGGCATTTCTGGGGAAAATATGGCATTTCTGGCAAAGCCCCTAAATTCTGTATTGTTTTTCTTTCATTCTGCCATCCCCAGTGTTTCTTTTCTTTTGGCCTGCCTTTTGCTTCAGCATGTGATTTGCACCAGCTGTGTGTCCGGACAGCTCAAGTAATCCCAGTTCAGAGCTGAGCCTTTATTCTGTGGTCTGTCTTTAATACATTTCTATTTAGTGGCTTTCACACAAGGCTAGTGCTGAGGATAAGCATCATCTGGAAATAAACTGACTTTGCATTATCCTCAGGCCTGGGCTTGGAAAAAGAAGTTTCTGGTCCTGTAACTCCAGAGCCCTCTGCCATACACCAGGGAAACACTGAGCTTACATTTAAGCTCCAGATTTTCCTTTGAGTGGGGATGGAAATCAGTTTGGTCCAAACAGTAACTTTAATTACAGTTATGTAAGGTTTCTTTGGATGTAAGGGAAGGCATCTGTATGTGTCAGAGGCAACTAAAATACAGCCCACAGCCGTGGGGACAACTCTTTACAGCCGGTGCTCAGGCAGCCCTGCCACACAAATGGCAGGGAGCAGCAGAGAGGTGGTTTTTTGGGAGCCCAGCAGAATGTGGATTCCTGGCATCTGCAGCCCTGATGCCAGATCAGGGGCACTCAGATCTGCTCCCCCTTTCAGTTCTGGACGTGAACGATGAGAACCCCACCTTCTTCCCTGCCGTCTACAACGTGTCGTTGCCTGAAAATGTGGCCCGGGATTTCAAAGTGGTCCGGCTCAACTGCACGGATGCTGACGCTGGGCTGAACGCTGAGCTCAGCTACTTCATCACAGGTATGCCAGCCTTGCAAAACACTGAAAGGGGTCTTTGGTTGTGGAAAGGAGGAGGCTGCCTCAGACCTTAGCCACGATGTTCTCTACACATCAGCTCCAGCCCTTCCAAACCTTGTACGGTATCGCCCTCTGCTGAACAGCCCCGCTTGGCTCCAGCCTTGCAGACCGCCTGTGCCCTGCCCGGGGTAAACCCAGGCATCCCCTGCCCTCACACCTCCGAGATACAGCCAGGAGGAGCATGAGGATGGGCAGAATACGCTGGGAAGCAAGGGCTGGGGCAGCATTTACATTTATGGTTGGAAGCCTCTCTAGAGTTTTAGGGTATCTCATAGCCCTGCATGCAGGTGGTTTTGGGCGGGCAGGGAGCAAGCAGGCATCTGCAGCACCTGCAGCAGGAGGCTGGGGAACCCCCTGGACGTGCTTTGACTTGCAAACTGCACATGTGGCATTTAGCCCTCAGGAAGAGGGTAGAAATAAAAGTGTCACTGGAGTCATTTTTCTCACAATAGCAGCCTCACGTTTCATCTCACAGCTGCTCCAGCTTCCCTCGCAAGAGAAACGGTGTGTGTTGTCCCACAGGTACCACGGGCCACGTGCAGACTTACCCCAGTTTGCTTCCAAAGCATTCAGGAAATGATCTGGCTCTTTGATTCTGGCTCTCATGATTCAGCTTTTCCTACAACCATCTCTCCTTTCCTTCGCTGTGATGCAGGCACTGCGTTTGGTGTGGCAGAGAAGATGCTCTGCCCACTTCTGCTGCAGAGACGCTTTGTCTAGGACAAGACACAAGCTCATCCTACAAAGCTTGCATTGCTCACAAGGAGGGCAGGCTAAGCACTTGTGTTTTCCACAGTTGGGCTGACCCCATGCCCAGGCTGCAGCACCCCATGCAGTGTGGACTCTGCTTCCTGCCTCTATTACAGAGGGTGACTTGGTCCTTGTCCTATGCTGCAGGTGGGAACCAGGATGGCAAATTCAGCGTTGGCTTCAGAGATGGGGTGGTCAGGACAGTCGTGAGTCTGGACAGGGAGACTGTGGCATCGTATACACTGATCGTGGAGGCCATTGGTAAGGATTTCCCACTGTTCCCATAGGACTGCTGACACACAGCCACATATGGTGGCTGCACATGTGCTGAGTGGCTTCATGGGCGAGTCAGACAGACAGCAACCTTTGAGGCACTCTATAAACCAGAGTTTGGCATTAGCATTTCACAACCCACATTAATATGTCCTGACTCCAACATGACTTTTGCAGACAGTAAATTCACCCCTCAGGCTCACCCAGCTCCAGGGTTTTCCCTTTCCCCCAGGGCAGGCAAGGCCACCCATTCCCAAGAAGCTCCCCACTATCTGGGGCAGACCTCCACACAGAAATGTCAGTGCCACAGCATCATTCACCTAATGCCATGCCAGCCTTTGGCTCAGTGGCTGCCAATTAATCCAGAGCCACCTGGCACGGGCAGAGGGCCTATGTGCCAAACACATCTTGGCCATAATCCCCAGAGTTTTATAATGATGTGCCTGTTTACAGAAGACTTGGGCATCCCTTTTGAAAGGAGAAGTAGGTGTCCTGGTAAGGAATCTCAGGGGCATGGCATTGCAGGTGCTACAGGGTCTGCCCCAGAGATGCTGCACTACTTGGGCATGCAGGACTGGATCCCAAGTGGTAAAAGATCTGTTCTGCCCCTCCAATGGGTATCAGACTGCCTGTTTTTCCAGTCAGCATATCCCATGGGCTCCAGCTGCATGGATTTAATGCTCACTCGCACTGGGCATGTTGGAAAAGCCAAGCTCATTTATAGTCCGCATTGCCTCACACTTTGTGCCATGTCCTTATCTACTGAACATCAACCAGTCCTGGTGCTCTTTGGCTGTGAGCTGAGCTGGGTCTACAGAAAACTCATCAGACCCCTGTCTGCCTTCATCTCCCAAATACCTGACCACCAGCAGTCCCTTCCAGGATACATCACTCTCTTGATCTATGGAGTTGCTCTATGACTCGCTGTGTTTCCAGCCTCCCTGGGCAGTGGCTCCATGGCAGAGCTGAGAGATGTTTCAGCTTTTCCATTTTCTTTCAGGACAGGCAGAATAAAACCAAACCACACCATGGTTCAGTGTGGGATTTGCAAGCTGCAAAAAAGACAGGATTTTAGTTTAAGAATTCTGATCCTGTTATTTTCAGCAGCCAAGGGTTGAGTATGACCTGTGTGCAAGGAGACGGAGGTGACCAGAACTCCCCTCACCTTTCTCTCCCATACAGACAACGGCCCCACTGGGAACCGGCGCACTGGGACTGCCACGGTGTATGTGACTGTCCTGGATGTCAATGACAACCGACCCATCTTCCTTCAGAGCAGCTATGAAGTCAGCGTCCCTGAGGACATCCCAGCTGCCAGCAGTATAGTGCAGGCATGTGGCTTTCTTCCACCAGGGCCCTTGGGTGGGTGAAGGGGTGGGTGAAGGGGGTCCCCCACTTTCCATGCCCTTGCACCTTGGCTGTCAGCTACAGGAAGCCCAGGGCAGAGATTTTCTCTCCCCGTCAGTGGTCTGCTGCCCCAGGAGAGGGCAAGATGTGATCTTGCTTGTGTTCTCCTCTGCTCCTTTGCTAACCCAAACTGTGAGCACCAGGGAGAAGACAGAAAAGTGCAAGGAAAAAATAAGAAATTCACCCATTTCTGCAGGGGGGAGAGGAGAAAACCCAAGCACCGTGCTGGTGAAGCCCCTTTGCCTGGCCGGGTCCCCATTTTCTCCCTCCTCCTGGCAGAGAAGGGGCTGAGAGCAGAAATCTCAAGGGGAAGGGAAAAGAGTGGAGGCAAAGAGGTGCTCTGAGAGAAGGGGGGAACTGAGGGAGAAAAGCATTTGAACTTTGCTTTCATTTTTGTTCCTCTTCAAGGGAGCAGTGGGCAGAGCTGAATAGCTCAGTGAGCCCTGAATGAATGCTGGCATTCACACAGCCTCCAAGGGTTTCCAGCATTTCTTCAAACCCAGGGCTCTTCTGGAGCAGGCACCAAAGGCTCTTTGCAGAGGGCCCTGGGAAGGCTCCTCCTGCCTTGAATACCTCTCCCGGCACAGGGAAAGGGGCAGCTTTGTGCCTGGCTCTCCAAGGCAGGGTGAGTCACTGGGAGAAGAAAGGAGCCTTTTGACTCTTGCAACAAAGGTTTGCTGGGAGCCCTGCTCTGGGCAGCCGGTCCCCAAGCGCAGCCCTGAAGCTCCTCATCACCTGTTGTGCCATGGCACATGGTACGTGATGCCTGCCTCTGAGGTCAGGCATCTGCCTGCAATCCCTGTCCCTGGGGTGGAGGTGTGTAGGGGAGATGTGCAGGCAGAGAGGAACCCTGCCATGGGACTCCTAAAACTGAGCCTGGTTTTCAATCAGAAGACTGAGAACAAAGGAAACCCGAGTCTGACACAAAGTCCCTCCTCTTAGAGAATGATTCCCAAAAGAGGGGATGCCCTTGGAAGTGTGTGGCAAAAGAGAGGTGGGTTTAGGGGGAAGTTTGTTTTTCACAGAACAAAATCAGAGAGAAATGGAAATGGGCAATCGCCTGGGTTTAGTTTAATTTACACCTTTAGTGTGAGCCATTTGTACTGAAGGTCTCTCCCTTCAAATACATCCCCACGTCACTGTGGCAACAAAAGAGTTTTCAAAGGCTTCCCCATCCTCTTCTCTGAAAGCCAGGCAGCCCAGGGCCAGAGGAGAGCAGGAATGCCCCAGGCAGCCCGGAGAAGTCCTGATGCAGAGCTGCACCTCAACGAGGGTCAGAGACCAAGTGAAGCCCAGGGAGATGGGCTTTGGTGCTCACCGTGGGGCCTCGCTGAGCATGCAGACTTCACCCAGAGGTGTGAACTCAACAGCTGAATATAGTGTGAGCTGCAGACTTGGAAGAATTAAGCCACTTTTGGTGTTTTGTACTGATTCCTTTGAGCACGTCAGCTTACCTGCTGGTTGTTGTACCCTTTCCCAGCAGAAATTAGCAGCTCAGCTTTGCGCAGTGCCTTTCCAAGCTGGCAGTGGCTGCGAGCCTCAAAAGCTCTCTTTAATGCATTTTATAGGCATGTTTACCTGCTCCCACTGCTCATTGATTGAAACAGGTTTCCAGCAAACAGCTGTAGCATATATCCTGCCAAGCATCTACTGCAGCAACCACGGCTCATTGCATGGAGAGAGAGTAGACAGGGACCAAGTGGCACACAGGGGGCACAAGCCTTCCTCTGCCTGCTCAGGACCACAACTCAGGGACAATCTCAGCTGAGGATTGCTTTTAGTAGAGCACATTTGCCCTAGGATGCCTCTCTTCAAGGCAGTATTTGTTGGGTAGCCAGCTTGCTCTTCTCTCACCCAGGCTGTTTGTTCAGGTGGCTCGCAACTTGCACAATGTTTTCCAAGAGAAATTAAGCGGCAGTATTTTTTGGACTGCCTGGTGATAGCTGTGTGTGGTTGTATTTCAGATGCCTCCACCTTTCCTGCCAGGAAACGGTAACCTGGAAAGCATTTGTGAAACTGAAATAGCAAAATCTCTCATCACCTTGCAGAGTCCCTGCCCGGAAATGAGCTGCTCAAAGGGGCTCTGCCAGGATGCTCAGAAGGGAACTGAGGCTGAACCAAAAGCTTGAGAAAGACTAGCAGTGTGGGGTGAGTTAGTTCCTGCAGAGGAGGGTCACATTTTGGTGGACTCCATGATATCCCGGTTCTGGCTGGTGAGGGAGCTCCTGGGGCAGGTGAGCTGTTTCTGGGACATTGGCTGACTCCTCCTGAAGGTGTTGATGGAGCATCGCAGGGAGCCCAGCCGCTTCCAGAACCTCAGCTGGGGCTCACTGGCATCCACTGGGTGATGGGGCATGCACTCATGGGGCCCGGAGCGGGCCTGGTCCAGCGCTGCTGGCTTGCAGAGGGTAACAAAGATGAGGAAGGTCGCCAGGAGGAGGAAGATGCAGATGAGTGCAACAATGACAAGCAGTGGGTCTGCTGTCTCAGGGGATGCATAGCTGGGAGGGACCAGCTCAGTCGTTGAAACCAGAAGCCCAAGGAGAGGCGTGGTAGGGGAGGTCCCATTGCCAATGTCCTCTGTGCTCATCTTCCCTGCAGTGCATAAGGTAACACAGACAAGCGACATGGGTGATTACCATCTAGAAACCAGAGAGACCACCACTCTCCATTTAGCCTGATGGATTTTTAGTTTGCTTTGATGTCCAAGCTGCGTTTTTTTTGTGACACGATGGGGATAAGAGGAGTTCATCTGTTTTGCCATGAGGTAAAGCACAGAGGTGGGATTTATACCTGCAAACATTGCCCTGAACAGAAGAGCAAAACTATTTGGCAAAGAGATCTAGCACAGGTAATACTATGTACATATGGTACCATGGTCCCAGTGGTGACACACATAGGGAACATGCACACGTGTTGCATGCTGCTTTTCTGGAAGAGGTAAATAATCATACACTAGAGACAGTCCAAAATCTTCCCCTCTGAGCTGCTGGGGTTTGGTGCTTCTCTGTTCTCCAGAAATGTGGGTTTGTTGAATGAACTGTCATTTGGCCTTTTATGATTATGCACTCTCCCCAGAGAAAATGGATAGTTGGTTGAACATCTTCCCAGTTAAGTCCTCATCAAGCTGTACTGCACTATTGCCTTTTTAGTTGGGTTGTTGTTGTTTGGTTGGTTGTGTTTTTTCAGGGGTGAAGCGTAACACCATCACCATGCTTGTGTCAAAAATCTTCTGGCGTTAGGCATTTTGCTGACCTCATTTCAGGTTCAGACACGTTGTGGGTTTCTCAGCCAGTTCTGCAAACCAGCTCACCAAAACCTCATCAGTAAGAGCTCTTACTAAACACCTGATGGCTGACTCACCAGCTCAGACCCCCCCGGCTTGCATCCCCAAAGCAGTTTGCACCCATCATTTTGCTCCCATGCACCCTCCTGCATATGGTCCCAGGGGCCAGCATCTCTCCAGCTTGGAGACGAGGGTTGGGGAAATATTGCTATACCAACCCTCTGCAATGCGACAGCTTGGCTTGGCCCTTGGTACTCTAGTCTGTATGCCGGAGGTAAAGCTTTATTATGCTGACTTTCCTACAGAAAGGTGGGAGTTAGAAAAGTGATGGAGAACCGTTAGACTAGTCTGTGGCCAGGCAGTCTCCTGGCAAGCATGGATTTCTACAGAGACCATTTAAAATTAAGAATTTAAGAGGAGAAAAGAAGGGCTGCAGGGACTGCCAGGGTCTCTGGGTCTGCTCTTGCAGCTGCTATCCGAAAGCCACACAGGTTTGTGTAGGCAGCAGCCAGACATTCACCATAAAGCATTCAAAAAAGGGGACAGGAGACATCAATGACATGTTTTTAATCACTAACTGGAAACTATGAGACACCACGGTGGAGATGAGCCTGGTGGAAAGACAGATGTTGCGTCAGGACAGACAAGCATTTCTCACTGTCCACATTACGCAGGTGGAAACAACCTTCATTTCTAGAATACTTTGCATCACCTGAGCTTGAGCATTCAGAGCTGTAATGCTGGCAGCCTCAGGGACTGTATCAGCCTGGTCAGAGCTCAGAGGCTCTAGGAAGATGTGGCTGCTTCCATTGGGCAGAGCCAGCTCATGCTCAGAAATGAGAAATGCAAAAATAAGTGGTCAGCATCTGCGAATACTTTAGCTCGGGTGAATCCCCGTGTGTACTGCAGGCAGGCTCAGGGGGCCAAGACTCGTTGCTTCCCCTAAAGTGATGTTTTTACCTCTCCTTGCCTGGCTCAGCCACTTCCCCCCAGCTTTTGGAGCAGAGCAGCCCCTGGCAACCTCAGCCAACCCAACAGCTCCTTAGGCAGGCTGCTCCTGTGCACTGCCTGGGCATGAAAACCAGCCGGCAGGGTTCCTGCTTACTGTGCACACCAAAGGCAGCCTGAATCAAGGTTACCACAGCTACCTTAATTCTGGCATTTACTGACCACATGTGGTTTGGCTTAGTAACCTTATATTGTTCATTAAGAGCAAGCTGGGGGCCTGGGCAATTTCTTCAGGTTGTTTTTTGCTCTGTCTGTGGTGGCTGTAGGGTTTTTCTTTTACATCCAGCTGACTGTCCCTTAGAAACTCCTCACAACAGATCACACTGACGTTTCCCTAGGCTTTTTCAGCTATGCCCTCTTCTCTAGCTTCTGAGCCACCCTCTCATTACACCCAGCTCAGGCTTCAGAGGAGGTCCAGGCTTTTCCTCACCTGATCTCTAAGACCTTCCAGAAGAAGAGCCAAGTACATGTGAGCAGTGACTCCTTTTTAGGGTCCACAAGTTTTCAGTGTATTAACGTACATAAAGCTCTCCTCCTCACCTCCTGCCTGAGACGGAGCTACAGCTGTTTCAGCAGAACTTCAGAAAAGCCACCAAAACCATGGTCCTACCAGCAGAAAGGTCAGGGCATAGTAAGAGCAGCACTCCCCTTGCCCACAGCACATGTAGGAATGAAGGCTTCCCTCCTGCAGGGTAGGAGCTTGGTGCCTTTCTGGAGCATGGCAAGGGATCAGTTGCCCACAGTGTTTTGTACCCACTCGGTCAAGCTGCTTCCTGCATCCCTGTTCATAGCATTGCCCCTTCCCAGCATTGCTGTTCCCACCCAAGCCCCATGTTATTAACCCAGATGGGTTAAGAAGAGGTTTTCCCAGCCTGGCAAACCCCCACAGCAGGATCATCCCTGCCTGATCTACTCTATCAGGAGATGTCCCCGTGAGTGCTTAGGATCCATTACTGGGCAAGAGGCAGCCAAGGATCAGAGGGAAAGAAGAGAAACTGTGAAAAGCAAAATGTTCCTGAGGAAAGTAGAAAGGAAGAAGAAACTACTCTTGTGTGTGAGTAGCAAAGAGCGTTACTCTGCCCAGCACCGGCTGCTGCCTGCCTGGCTTGGCCCAGCTGCATAGTTTGGCAGGAGTTTTTCCATATGCTCTCCCTCTCTTGTCTCAAACTCCTGCAGAGAAAGAAGAGGCTGTTTTCAGGCACTTCTGTGCCTGTAATACAGCTCAGATGAAAAGCATCTCTCTCGTCCCTCCCCATCTTGCCTAGAGACACTCTTAACGGGGCTTCCTAGCTTTTCCCAATTGACTCTTTCCGCTCGTTTGCAGGAATGCTGGAAGGTACCAAACACACAGCTTACCGACCCGGACAGTTGGGTGCTGAAAGAAAAGGGCTGTTAAGTGATGCTGTACCCCACCACCCTCACTGTTAAGCAGCAGTGCTGCATCCGCAGGACTTTCCCCCTCTCCCATCACTGGGACAAACAAAGCAACGCGACAGGGAAGGAAGGAGGGATGCCTGACTTCAGACCCACCCCAAACTCCGTGTCTCGCCTCTCCACTGCTGCGAACGCAGCCCTTTCCCCATGCGGCTGCGGGATGGCGACACGTCCCAGGTGTCTCACTCGCCCCTCGGGGTTAGCCTGAGCGTTCAGCGGTGGGTTTGCCACGGGGATTTGGGCTCCCTACCTCTCACCGGCTGGCCGAGCTCCCGCACGCCTGCCTTGCCGCCTCTCCCACCTCGCTCTGCCGCTGCCAGCCCCCTCCTCCCTTTTGCAGGGCAAGGGAGGGTGGGAGAGAGCTGGGCAGCCAGGCTGGGAGCAGTCTGAGTGTGCCAAGCCAAGGGGGACACTGAGCCCCCTCCCGGGCTTTGCCGGTGCGGCGGTGCCCCGGGGCTGGGCCCCGCTGGCACGAAGGGTCGAGCCCCCGGGATGCATTTTGCTGCGGTTTGCCCCTGCGGGAATGCTGAATGGTACAGTCGCGGTGGGCCGAGCCCCCTGCGCCGGGGAGGGGTCTGCGGGCTGCCCGCCGCAGCCTGCTTCCCCTCTTCCCAGCAGCCCCGCAGCAAGTTGCCGTCACTTTCCCCGTCCTTTTATTTCCCCGCTCTTTCCTCCAACGTTTCTGACCCCTTTGCCGCAGCTGGGGGGTAAGGTAGGCTTTAAAAGGCTGGCTTTGCTTGCAGCCCACTCTCAGTAGCAGGGGGATAAAGCAGGCTGGAGGCATCTAGCACTCGGCTGCACAAGGTGCCTTGCAACCTGCAGCAGAAAGAGCTTTTCTCCCACCACCTGTTCCCAAGTTCGGGACAGTCTGTCAAAGTACCACCTCTGGGACCTCAGTGGGTCAAGCCAGCAGCAACTGAGCTTTTTCCAGTCTGCAGGCTGGTAGGAGCATGCATTGGTTTGATGCAAACTGGTTTGGGTTGGTTTTTTTTAAGAAACAGATACCTGGGCAAGGCATTTTACCTGGTTTATGTGCTAGAGCTGCCTGCAGCAAATGCTTGGGGTGAGCTGGGAAAAGGATGGCTAAGGGGGTGTTTGCAGGGTGCAGTTTGCTCATCAAGTTGAAAATCTTTCCATTTGCTCACTTTGAAATGCATTTTTCCCAGCACAGCTGGGCAGAAAATTAATATAAAGCTGAAAAGTTTTGTCTCCCATCCCTTATGTTTCCCTGCCACCACTGCCACCTCAGCAGGGTGCTTAGGCTGGTGGGATAGCTTTTCCCATGCCAAGGCCACCGATCTGCCTGGGCATCACTTGCCTCAGCATCGATGGGTGCAGGGCCCACCCACCACAGGGGAGAGCACACAGCCCAGCTCCTGCCCAGAAATGACCTTGGAGAGACCCAAGGGTGGAAGAGATGGTGTTGGAGGGAGAGCTCTCTGCTGTGAAAGGAAGGTGCTGGGTGCGGGGTGAAACATGGAGCAAGGCATACGTAGTGTTGTGTTCAGCCATAAGCAAGGTGTGAACTGGTGTGGGACAGAGGAAAACTGTGTGTATGTGGCACAGGGGTGGGGAATCCAGTTGGTTTGCAAGTGCAGGGGTCGGTATTTTCTAAGGTTTGTGATGACACAGATTGACTTAGCGGAAGGGAACAAGAGCAGTTCAAGGCATCTCAAAACTGCATTTCAGAAGAGTATCTCATAGGCATGCAAGTGTTGTGTGGGGCTGTTGATGAAAGCCAGCCCAGAGCTTTAGAGCTGAGCCCCTATAAATGGCCTCGCTGTTCCTTCTGCACGTGCATCCTTTGCAGCAGCCCCTCCTCTTTTCAGCACAAGTCTGGGTGCAAACCCCCACCTGCGGGAGAAAAGGAAACCACTGGGTAGTATTTGTAGGGAGAAGATGCAGCAGCAGATGCTTTGCCAAGGGAAGCAGGTGGAAAAGAAAGGCTAAGGCGTTCATTCCCCACGTCCTCGCCGTGGTGATTTGCAAGCAGCCGCCGCTGCGGTTGTGCTTTGGATCCTCTGTGGGAAGCGTTTTCTGTGGAGGGGAGATGCAGTGGCTCAGCGCCAGCCTGGGAGGAAGCCCCGGCCCCGCTGGCCCTCACCATCTCCCGCTTCCCAGCTGCCGGGGCCGGCGGCTCCTGGCTGCGGTTTGCGGGGAGAGCGCTGCAGTGTTGTTCAGCGACACCAGAGGGGACCCGTGCCTTGGGTTTCCCAGGGCGGACGGCTGATTCGGTACGTGCGCTCACTGTGCAGTGCATCGCTGTTAAGCGGTGCTCCCCTCCTCCGGTCCGGGTCTTGCGAGGCCTCAGCAGTGTCCAGACCACCAGCATGCGCTAGGCTGGTCATATTCATGTTTCTTCGGTAATTTTTACATATGCTGCTGTGGATTGACTTGCCCTGGTACTATGGGTTACGTACCCAACACGCACAGGACCAACACACACAACTCCTTGCCCAGCTCCAGCCATCCCTGTGGACAGGGAGGCTTCATCCGCAGCGGCATCTCCAGTGGAACAAGCATTGGCACGTGAAGCAGGATCAATAGAGGCTTCTCCACCCGAACACTGACCCATGGGATTCATGGCATGGTCTTCAGGCCCAGCTCCCAACCTGGCACCTGAGAGTTCCCTAACCCATTATTCCTTCTGTCTGGTGACAAGGGGAGGGTAACTTCACTTTGCTTTGCAGCTGGTAAGCTCCTGGCTCAGGTGGAGGAGCAGGATGTCCAGCCTCGGCAGCACGGGAGGACTTGTCATGGTCTGGAAATCTCTGCACTTCTCCTTCAGTGCTTTTCTTTTCTCATAAAGGTGAAAGCCACAGATGCGGATGAAGGCATTAACGGGAGAGTGTGGTACAGGATTGTCAAGGGTAAGTCCAGATGACCCTTCATGCATTGGTGAGTTTGCACCAAATTCTGGCCAGCTGTGCTCACAGCCTCAAGAGGTTGCACTCTCTACCCTTTTGCACTTTTCAGTCCACAAAAACATCCTCTCCACCCTTAAACAACATGTTAACATTATGGTTAATTTCTGGGGGATGATTTGTCATGGATGGACACCTAGATGCCATAGCTTCTGGCTTGGCCAGGGCCAAACCCTGATGTAGCTGAGCCTGATGTAGCTGGAGGTGATGGGACTTGGGTTTCACTCAGTCACATTCCTCCAAAATAGCTTCCTCAGCATGTCACCAGGACTGATGCAGTGGTGGTGGGAAGCATCCATCTCATTTCTTTCCCCTGCCAGGAAACGAGCACAACAACTTCCGTATCAATCCCAGCACGGGGTTGGTGATGCGAGGAGTGCGGCACCTTGACAGGGAGCAGAACTCCTCTCACATCCTGGAGGTGGAGGCCTACAACACAGAGCAGGGACCTATGAGGAGCTCCGTGCGGGTAAGGAGCTCACAACCACCAAGAGGTGTGCAGCAGGGCAGGGCTGCAGAGGAGTTAATGCAGAATATTCAGAATGCTTCATCAGAGGGCAGTCCTTTCCAGCCCTTGAAGGCATGCAGGAAGCTGGAGAAATCTGGTATGGAAATGGTGATGCAAAGTCTCCGGGGGTTGCCTGTGGGTGGAGAAGAAGAGCTGGTGGGATCTTATTTTGTTTGGTTTGTTGTTTATTTTTCTTCTTTCCTGTGACATTTCATTGCAGTAATGCTGCTAAGTGGTGTGGCAGCCACTGTCGGAGGGAGTCCTGCTTGCCCAGCGAGATGTGGCTTTGCTGCCGGGAGAAAGAGCTGAGCCTCAGCCTGTTGAAAACTGTGTCTCCTGGCTAGGCATCTATTTAAATAAGACAGGACCCAGTGGCAATAATCTTTAGCAGTGACACACCAGCTTCCCACGGTTCCCACAAACCCAGCCCTCTGGTTGCATCTATTTTTAGACCCACTGGTGGGGTGGGCTCTGGCCAAGCGTGACATGCCCACAGCACCAGCAGCAAGTAGAAAACCAGGAGGAGAAAGGGTGCTCCCTGGGGAACAGCAGCTCGACCTACTGAACTTTGAGCAGAATTTCCCACCGAGTTACCATCATTTCCACATTGCAGGGTCTCTAACTGCAGGGTTATGAGCAGGAGATCCCAAAGCACACTGAAATTAATATACAGGCTGTATCTCCCTCTGGCCAGGGAAATCCCGAATCACTCTAACCATGGGGCTTGCTTAAATCTATGATGTTAAACTCTACGTTCACCCTCCATTACATGATGTTTGTACTAGAAATAACATTTCTCCTGTGCAGCAGATGCTTGCTGTGTGTTGGCAACAGTTCACAAGCCTTCCTGGCTCACCCATGGTTTCTCGGGGGTTTCACAGGTGATCATCTACGTGGAAGATGTCAATGATGAAGTGCCAGTCTTCACCCAGCGGCAGTACAACCGCCTGGGGCTGCGGGAGACAGCAGGGATAGGGACTTCAGTGGCAGTGGTCCGGGCCACTGACCGAGACACAGGTAGGAAGCTGGAGGTGAGAAATACCCCACTTGGTGGGGAAGTTGTGAAATCAACCATTACGCAGATCCTGGCTTGGCTGGGTTGAAATCCCCATGTGGGATGGGCTCTGCTCCATGGTTGGGGTCAGCACTGGTAGTGCAACCTCTTCAGGATGCTTGATCCAGCTGGCATCATGGTTCCTGCTCTGTCGCAGGTAACGGTGGTCTGGTGAACTACAGAATCCTGTCAGGGGCAGAAGGGAAGTTTGAGATTGATGAGAGCACTGGCCTCATCACAACGATCGAGTACCTGGACTATGAGACCAAAACCAGTTACCTGATGAATGTCTCTGCCACGGACCAAGCACCTCCCTACAATCAGGGCTTCTGCAGCGTGTACGTCAGCCTGCTGAATGAGCTGGATGAGGCTGTGCAGTTCTCTAACAGTAGCTATGAGGCCGTGATCATGGAGAACATCCCCTTAGGCTCTGAGGTGCTGCGGGTCCATGCCCGCTCCATTGACAACCTCAACCAGATCACCTACAAGTTTGACCCCAATACCAATCCCCAGGCACTCTCCCTCTTCAAAATCAATGGGATCACTGTAAGTAGCTAGAGCATGGGCCCTTCTGGCTTGGTTGTCCACCATGAACTTCAGTGTTGGTGGCTGACACAGCTGCTGTTCATCCTTGGCAGGGTGTGATCACGGTCAAAGGCCAGGTGGATCGAGAGAAAGGGGATTTCTACACCTTGACGGTGGTGGCTGATGATGGAGGACCAAAGATTGACTCTACGGTGGTAAGTGGATTCTACCCACTTCCCCACCATCCTCTGATAACCTGAAGTCACCTCCCTCTTTCTCTGGCATGGGACAGCATGTCCTAGCTGGTCTTCCTGCTCCAGCTGGAAACCCTGATTTGAGGAAACTCTGCATTTAGCTTCTGCATGCCATAGGCTGGAATTTCTCAGAACAAAAAGAAAAAAAAGTCCCAAACTGTAGAGTTTGTAGGTCACTTACCAAGCTAAAACAGTTCTAAGAGAGATAAATTTGGGTGCCTTGAAATACTTCACTGTGGTTTATATTTAAGAGGGCTATATTTGGCAGTTTCAAAGGCAGCTGTTTATGGGGGTGATTTGCATTTCTCTGCTGGGGCAGGAGGCATGCGGGGTGCAATGGCAAGAAGTTTATCTATTAAAAACAAAGGGATGCACCAACAGAGGAGCCTCTGAATCACTGCAGCTGGTACCTGTGGACACCAACACTGCTACAACAGGATGCAGGACTGCTCCTTGCATATAACTGCACCTCCTTATCCCTCACTAACTCTTTGTTCTCTGTTTTCTGTTTCCTCCTCTGCTGTCCTCCAACAGAAGGTAAGCATATCCGTCACACTGGCATCATCGTGGGGGCCAGGATCCATCCCAAACTCCATACTGAGCTGTGGGGAGGGACCACGGTGGAGGTCTCCCAGCCCATCCCATCAGCACCAGCCTCTGTGACACCCTGCTGCTGAAGAGCAGAAATCCCAACACCCTGAGCTGGCATCTGGGACAGCAGCTGCCGGATCCATCACAGCAGCTGAATGGACTCTCCCTGCTCCTGGCTCTCTGCTTTTAAGTCAGTGGCAACAATAACCAGATCACCCCAAAGCACACAACTCACTCCCCAGCTTCCTCTGGGATGTTGTTTCATTCAGCCTGGACACACCTGGGGCTTGGGGCACCCATAAATAGAGCCTCGGGAACAGAAAGGCTCTTCCTCTTCCATTTCTGTGTCGTGTTGCAGCTCTTGGATTACAAATGTGATGAGAGCATTTCCTCTGGCTAATTGTAGCCAAGGTAGCCTGGTCCCTCATCACCTGCAGCTGGGGTGCCTCTCTGAGCATCTCCTGACCGGTCTGTTACTCATATGGCTCTTCCCAGGAGGAAGCTCAGGTCTTATCTATGCCCATCTCACTCTGGTTTAGTTAAATACCTTCAGTTCTGTCTTCTTTGTGCCCCTTTAGCTTTAAAGCAAACACTACCCAACATTTGGGCTGTAAGCACAGATGAAATTGCTGCTTGTGAGAAGCTTAGCAGGAAAGGTTCACCCTGAAGCAGCGTGAGTTGCTCTGCCCAGCTATTTGGAGGATAAAAAAGCAGAGGATTCTCCATAGAAAAATCCACCACTGAAAGCTGCAGCACCATTACACTTTCTCCAGCCTCTAAGCATCCCTCCATCTCCCCCTTCTTCTTCTCTGTAGACAGGGATGTAGCTTCAGCTCCAGGGCTCAAATACCTGCACCCATTTCCACATGGGATGGACAAAACGGGCACTGTTGGCACCTCAGAGGGGTACAGTGGGTTGAGAGTTTGCTGGAGTTGTCAGTTTGGCTTTTGATGCCAGGTGGGCAGGGGGGCCAGCTCTTGCCCTGGCCCTGCCTGAGCCCTGTTCCATGTCCATAGGTGACCATCACGGTCCTGGATGAGAACGATAACAGCCCCCAGTTCGACATCACCTCCGATTCGTCCGTGAGCGTGGCAGAGGACAGTGCTGTTGGCAAGCGTGTGGCTCTGGTCCTTGCCCGTGACCCAGATGCAGGCAGCAACGGGCAGGTAGGGAGCCTGGCACAGCAGGCTGGAGCTGCCTGTAATGCTGTGATAGTGTTTCACTGAGGCAAAATGCCTCCATCAGCATCTTCCCAATCCCTTCTCGTCCTCTGCATCCCTGCAACAGCAAACTGGACATTGATGCCAAGAGTTTTGTTTGTGAAGTGGGTACCAGCACTCCCCAGTAGAGGCATGCAGCAGGAGAGGAAAAAACCTCCTTGGGCTGTCTGGGGTAAAGGGCTCTGTGGGACACGTGTCAAAATGGGTCTGGTAATTGGAAAACCAGCTGTGGCGTCTCCTGTCATGGGGAATGGCAGTGAGGCCCTCCCTTGGCAGGCTGAACAGGAAGCTCTCTGACATTTGTTGTTTTCTTTACCATACAGACAGAAGTTAATGAGGTCCTGTCACCCCTAATACCAAAAGTTGTTAGCATCATAGAAGAGCTGTGAATGAGACTGGGGTTGGCACACGGGTGTTTGCTTTGGGGTGGCTGCAATCAGCCACCATACCTGTGGACCCCAACATGTTGGACCTTTAAAAATGCTTAGAGACTTCCCTAGGGGATGCTGGGTTTATTACTGTAGGGTCTCTTTCTCTCCTTCCTCCTCACAACATTCCCTATTTTTCTTTTCCAGGTGACTTTCTCGCTGGCTTCAGGGAACATTGGCCAAGCTTTCGAGATCCGTACCACCAACGGTACCTATGGAGAGGTGTTTGTGGCACGGCCACTGGACCGGGAGCTGCTGGATCACTACACCTTACGAGTAAGCACCAAACCACCCTGCTTGCCTCCTTTGGCTTGTTCTGGCTTGAGCACTGAGGCTGTTTTCATGGGGCTGTGATCTTACAAATAGTATTTTTCTTGAAAATCCATCCCCAACTGCAGATCCAAGCCTCGGATGGTGGTGTGCCTCCCCGGAGGAAGGAGCACACTCTGCGAGTGAGCATCCTTGATGTCAATGACAACCCCCCTATCATCGACAGCCCCTTCGGCTACAATGTGAGCGTGAGTGAGGTGAGTACCCAGCCCTGCTTCTCTCCTTCCATCCTTCAACTGCATTGTCCCCACCTGCCCTGTGGTCAGACCTCACCTTGGATGATTTAAGGGTTGGTGGCCCCTTGCAAGCCCTCCCCTGTGATGGTATCATAGTTTTGGGATAGGAGAGAGCTCTGCAGTCAGCTGAAGCCCATGAGGATGCAGGGACCAGCAGGAGGGAGAAGTGGCTACACACCAATGGAAATGCCACCAAAGTGACACAGGAGGTGGCGCAGTGCAGAATAGGAATTGCTTTCAGGAAGCAGCTCAGCAAGAGCTAGATAATTAAGCAATAAAACACAATCAGGCGTGAGAAAAGACAACTTATTTCCTGTCAGTTTAATTCTTGGACTGGGGGGTTCTCAATTTGATGATGAAAAATGAAATATGAGTAATAGCCGGTGACACCTAGCTGTGAGGAACTGCTGCTCATGATTAATAGCTTTGCATTAACGTTATTGCCCTGTTAGGATTTTCTTATCTATTTAATACGTGTTCAGAGCTGGTTGAAGAACAGAATTTCTGTTTTGATTTCCCCTGTAATGGGGCCATCCAAAAATAATTAGCTGAGCTCTGAATCCATTACACAGCCTTCACCTTTGCACACACACTGGTTTCTACACTCTTTCAGGCTGTGCCAGCCTACATAGCACTTAGCTTTCTGCAGCAGGGAATCAAACTGAGTCTTTGCAATAAATGGGAGATGCTGTAACCTAAGGAAAAATAGGTACAGTGTTGATGTGTAGCAGTAGCTGGCTTTGGTGACTTAACAACAAATATCACCTCTTAGTTTTATTCCATTTCTTTTAAAAAGTTAATGTAGAAAATGCATTTAATTTCAGAATTTCAAGCCAAAAACTATGTGAGCACTCAAGCAAAGGGCAGAGCCTTCCATTACTAAGCCTGTAGCGGATTCTCAGCTGAGCTAGCAGTGGCAGAGCAAGTAGCCTTGTTAAGTTTTTGCATGAAGTTAAGTTTTTGCATCTATTACAGAATCACAGACTGGTTTAGGTTGGAAGGGACCTTAAAGCTCATCTAGTCCCAGCCCTCCTGTCATGGTCAGGGACACCTTCCACTGGACCAGGTTGCTCAAAGCCCCCTCCAATCTGGCCTTGACCCCTTCCAGGGATGGGGCAGTCGCAGCTTCTCTGGACAACCTTTTCCAGTGCCTCACCCAGCATTATAGCCATACAATCACAAGAGTTATTTCATCTTAAATGTAATACAGTCAAAACCCACAACAACTGGAGAAAGAACTAACCTGGAAAACAAACAAAAACATTTCTAGTACAAGCCATATATGAATTACAGGAAGAGGGCTGAATGAAACATCATTTGCAATAAGCACCAACAAAATAGCATCCAGGAACTTGTGAAGGAAAGCAGCCTTCTGCTTGGCTGATGGGTGTTGGGGCAGCAAGATTGGAACTTCAAGCACCGCAATGCCTGGGAAAAGCCCTCTTTATATTAGAATTATGTTATTAATTGTGTATTTTCTATGTTATGAAGTGCGTGTGATGTATGTCGTGTAACTCTGACACTCACCCTGCCATCTCACCCTGCAGAATGTTGGCGGTGGCACAGCAGTGGCCCAGGTACGTGCCACTGACCGGGACATCGGCCTCAACAGTGTCCTCTCCTACTACATCACCCATGGGAATGAGGACCTGACTTTCCGCATGGACCGTGTCACCGGCGAGATTGCCACCCGGCCCTCCCCACCAGACCGCGAGCGGCAGAGCTTCTACAGCCTGGTGGTCACTGTTGAGGACGAGGGCAACCCCTCCCTGTCGGTGAGCCACCAAATGTGCTTTCCAAGGGGATGGAGCTGGGCAGCACTGTGGACAGTGAGCTTAGATACTGGGTGTGGAAAGGTGGAACAGGCACAGGGTGCAATGTTTTGGTGATTGGCCATTTGTGTTGTGACTCAGGGTCCAAATCTGCTGAGTATAGGTTTGGTTCAGAGCCTTCTTTGGCACCTGGTCCTGCGTGACCATCTCTTTCAGTCTCTTCTGGAGCAGCTGCTGTCTCCCATCTGTAAATGCCAAAAATATCATAAGCATCACAATGGGCAAGTGCGCTGGAGGCTGCAGGATTTGTCCTGCCCACCAGTTTCTCACACTCAGAGTCTGAAAGGTCTCTGGGTGTTGTCACCCGTCTCAGGGCAGGGGGTCACTGGATCAGCATCTGAACCGTGGTTCAGCTCACCATGTGTCTGCTCTAGTGCTGGCAAATGAGAAGAGCTCCGGTAATTACTGCTATAGCTGTTGTGAGACTTGGGCAGCTTGTTGATCATGTTGCTGCCACCTGGAGTGCCCTGCCTATGGTGAGCAGGATTTGAGCTTGCATATGGGGCCTGGTATGACATCCTGTCCATCATACTTTGTTCTGGGGATGTGGCCACCTTGCTTTGTGGTTACCAGCCTGCAGCAGTGCCCGGCAACTCAGTTGCTGCAGCCTGGCTTTTCTCACTGGCACGTTCCCCGCTCCACAAGTAACAAGTTTCATTATTTGGGCCTCTAAAGAGAACGCTGGCCTGGGAGGGTCAAATGGACAAATAACATTTGGGGCATTTTCCAGCCCTGAGTCCCTCCTAACCCCACAGCTCTGCGGGGATGTGAGCGAGCAACTGTGTGCAGAAAGCAAGCCCAAATTGTGAGATGGGGAGGCGTGACACCCTGCATGACACCCTGCCATCCTTCCTCTCCCCAGCCCCTACCTGCTATCTCTTGCCATCTCTCTGATCTCCCAGCAGAGCTCTCGCTGCAAAGCCCTGCTGTACATTTTGAGGAAACAGGTTGCAAACAGCAGTGTGAACTGTGGCTTGCAATTCTCACTTCAGGCTTTGCACTCTCGACTGCTCCCTCCTGGGTAGTTCACACACCTTCTTACGCATCACCGTCTTTTTCTTAAGCTGTGCTGCCACTGTGGCTTAAATCTAGTCAGTCTCTTCCCCCAGAATGAGAGAAGGCAGCTCTGTGTAACTGCAGCACCTGATAACTGCTAGCTCCTCCTTGTCCCCATCGCCCCAGCACCATAGGAGCATTGGTGATGCTGCTGTGGTGAGGAATGCTGTGTGCTAAACTGGCAAATCCCATTGCCATGGCAATGCCCTCTTCCCTTCCTGGTGCCAGAGAGGGCAAGTGACACAGCTTATCAATTCACACTGATGCAAAGCAGTGTCCCAGCAGCCTCGCTTGTCCTCAGGGTTTCTGCTGCATGACCACCACATCACTGGTGAAAGTTATGCCAGCAGCAACAATCAAAATCCTGCCATGCTGAAGCAAAACAAAGTGTCCAGTGACCCAATTCCTAAGTGGAAAGAAGTTTCAGCCCATTTCAGAGCTTGAGGATGCTTAGGTCTTGTGAAAGGCTGTCCTGCATGTCACTTGGGGACTGCTGGCCTCATGCCTGGGTCACGAAATGATGTCTGTCAGGAGTTTGTCGCCTACTTTGGTTTCGCAAGTCTGGGCTGATGCAATGATGCACAAAAGAGGATTATTGTCTATAATTTGTATGTGTACTTCACGTACTTCATGTACTTCAAGATTTGGCCTTCTGAGTATGGGAGAGGCAGAGGAGACAGAGCTGGAAGAGGACTTGGAAGTCCTGGGATGAGCTGTGATATCCAGGACAGCAAGGGTGCATGGAAGACTGGCCATCCTCTTGGCCAGTCTAGAAATGCAGGGGAGAAAGGCTAAAAATGCTGATGATAAAAGCAAAGCATTTACCTCAACAAGCACTGCAGGAAAGAAATCCTTCATAAGCTGGTGAGCTGCAACTGGAAGGTCCTGGTGTCATTACATGGGAATTGCAGGAGTCACCCAAACTCTGTCTGACACTGGTGCAAGCCTGCAGCACATGTGCTGGAGCTGGACTCCTGATATTCACAGACCCCAGGCACTGGTGGTGCCCTGAGGCAGGGTGGATCAGTAAAGCTGCTCAGATGCCTATCTCACAGCCACCTTGATCCAGGGCTGCTTCAGCCTCTGCAGTTTCTGTTCCCCTCCACCCACTCCAAAACAAGAGTTCAGGTGAAGCGCTGCGGCTCCTCACTCTCCTCATGAGCTAAGCCCCAGGTGCTGATGCAGTGGAAAACAGCCAGCAGCATGGCACTAGCTCAGTGTGTGTTCCCAAGCCAGGCACTCGCAAGAGCTGGGGGACCCATCAAGGTCCGTAAGGGCATCTTGCTGGGTCACCTTCACCATGAGCATCCTCCCCAAAGGTACAGCACCATGCAATCTTCTCCACCACTGTTGGGGCCAAGGTGGAGTGCCAGGACCCGGTGTGCTAAGGCTCCTGCTGAATGCCTGCAGGGCCATCGCCTCTCTCCCATAAAAGTCTACTTTTTCTTCTGACAAGCTGACCAGGTAGGAAAGGGTCCCTGATGCCACTTCTCCCAAGTGACAAGCGATAGGACAAGAGGCAACAGCCTCAAGCTGCACCAGGGGAGGTTTAGACTGGATATTAGGGGCAATGTCTTCACTGAAAGGGTTGTCAAGCATTGGAATAGGCTGCCCAGGGCAGTGGTGGAATCACTGTCCCTGCAGGTATATAAAAGATGTGTAGATGTGATGTTTAGGGACATGATTTAGTGGTGGACTTGGCAGTGCTAGGTTAATGTTTGGAATTGGTGATCTTAAAGGTGCTTTTGCAACCTGAATGGGTCTATGATTTTGTGATGATTCTATGTCTTGGAGAGGGTTTCAAAGCAGTTAGGGCCCACAGGCAGGCAGATCCTTGTGTGCCTTTCCAGCTGCAGCTGCTGGGACAGGGAGAGGGAAGAGCCAGAGGCACTGGGCAAGCTTCCCCAGCAAAGCCAGGAAAGGGGCTGAGCTGTGGCTGGCCGTAAAGCACAAGTCCTGTGCTCAGGAAGTTACGTCTGCAGGGGGGGGCTGGTGCTGGCTTCTGTATCCCTCTGCCTGCGGCCAAACCATCTTGAAGTTCCTCTTGCTGTAACCAGCACGGGATTAATCAAATCCTGCAGCAGGCCGGAGAGTCCCCTCCCTCTGCAGAGGCAAATGCTGCTTCCTGCAGCCACGTAGTATGAAAATCCAGTGTGCTGCCTGGGATGCTCTGCCCGGGCATGCTGCCTGGTATGGCTATTGCTCAGGGCTGACACTGTTTTGATATGACTAATGTTTATGTTTGTCTAGTGGAAATTTCCCCCCCACTTTACAACAGAAAACAAAACAAACACAGAAACACACCCTTCGAGTAACAGTGTCTACCACGAGGTCCTCGCCAGGGGTTGAGTCATGCTGGAGCCGGACCCCCGGATTATTTTGGATAGGCAATGCCAGGGTGCTGTGTTCAGGCAGAGGATGCTGGGAGTGCACCTGCATCCCATGGGGCATTGTCGGGCTCTTCATTGTGGCTGAAAGCAGTGGCCCCAGGGACGTGTGCTTTGGCCACGCTGGCCCCAGGAGGATGAGGGGAAGCCAGCCAGAGCGTTTCCCAGCACCCACTGCGTGCTCCTATGCCTCTGCCTCTCTGCAAGGGCTCTCAGCCATGTCACGGGAACATCCTCCTACACCCTCCAGATAAACTTTCTAATTTACAAGCATTTAAAAAAAAACCAAAACCAAACAAAACCATAAACATCCTTTTTTTCTTTTTTTCTCTTTTAATCAGCACTGATAATGAAAGAAAGATAAATTCCCCTGATCCCAAGCTGAGGATAAAATTGCAGCAGAAATAAGGCTTCTCCCTACATGTGTCCAGCTGGAAAGGCTGCAGCCTTGCATGTCCATAACCATCTCAAAAGGCTGGTAGGGAAGGAGGATTCCATCAGCGGCAAAGAGCCTCTCCCCTTCCTGTTTTGCAAAGAAAAAGGTAGTACAAGGTTGGCCAGTGACCTTGTTTTGTCTCATGGTGGATAAAGTACTTTACCATCCGCTCCCAGAGAGGATGTTCAGAGATGCAGAATCAGGTTGATATTGCAGAGCTTAAACCCCTGGCAATAAGTTAAGTCCTTGTGGAGGTTTGCGGGTGCAGGTCATCCTTCCTTCCCCACATCCCCAGTTTTCAGCTAGCCTATAAAACGTGAGCAGTACAAAGCTCTTCTCCATAGAAGTAGTTAAAAACTGAAATCCGGGCAAGAGAGGTTCACTTCCAGCCCCAGGGCAGAGCCAGGACAGAAGGTGAGGTCTGGGCTCCTGCTCCCAGCTTCACTGTGTAAGGCTTTACTGCCCATGGTCATGCTGCCCTCCGCAGGGTCCCAGCTGGGCGCATGGCGCAGTGGCTGCTCGGCCTCTCCCAGCTGCGACTGGGGGATGTGGTTTCCTCCAGGGTCTTTACTCTTTCAAGGAACTTGGTGAGTCAGGAACAGGATCTGGAAAAGGACAGACCAGAGGTATTAGTCCAGCTGAGAGCTGTGGGGATCTGTTTCAGCAAGCAGCAAAACTCTGATTTTGTATGGAAAACAGACTTCGAGTCCTTCCCATCTTCAAATTCCTGGGACCTGATGTCCCACATGATGCAAAGTTTGCAGCCAATATTTAACATCCCCCCCCCCCCCCCCCTTCATCCCCCTGGCTGCCCCTTTTCTTCCCACCCCTCCTGCCATGGCCTCCATGGGGGCTCAGGGTTGCCTGTCACTCACCCAGCGTTGGGAAGAAGCAGTCCCCAGGGCCGGGGGGAGACAGAGGGGTGCCAGGCTCAGACAGCAGATGCCGGCCAGACTCGGAGGGCTGCCGGCTGGCCATGTAAGAGAGCTGGGGTCGGGGCCGTGGCTCCGTGCTGGCTGAGGGGACCGCCTCAAAGACAGGGTTCTCAATGCCCTGGGCATTGC